TTTTCGGTGTACGCTGTTTATATCTCAAGAATTCATATTATTAATTTGTGTCAGTCTGTTGTTCTGTCAGCTGGTCTGTCATAGCGTTCTCTACACGTGTACTCTCAGCAAAGACAGGATCTATTTCGATTAAATTTAAGAAAGTACCACCAGTGGCGGCAGGGGCAGTTCTAGAAAGTATTTTCAGAGGAGGAGCATATGAAAAAAATGTACGTGCGTAGTATTTAGTGTATTTCCAAAGCAAAAATTCTGAGAAATAATCCATATCATTTTTGGTTGTCATATTCATCGAGGTGTTTTTCTAAAAATTCAGAATCCGTTTGTGAAGTTTTTGACCATTTCAGTGCATAGTATTTTTTTTATTTATTAAATTACCGAAGGATTTCACCATAGTTTCTGTGTTTGGAAAATCCATATATTTCATTGTTTTCAAATTTGCAGTAGTGTCATGTATGCGATATAAAAATCCAATTTGGGTGTATGCATAATTTGACACCATTTTGTTTTTTTGTTGAACAAATATAGTAAACCAACATTAATAAGAAATGGTAATTTAACATTAATATGCACCATGTTAATATTCACACTTTATTGTAACCAAAAAACAAACTTAGTACAATAATAATATATGCTAACATCCTGCATATATGGAAAGAACAATTAAGATATGTGCATCAACTAGAAACTGTCTTTTTCATCATAATCATTTTTTATTTTATTGCCTAACATGTGATTTGTTATTACAAATTGCATAACCATAAGACAGAAACAGTGTCTCATCATATCAATATGACGCGTGTGTATACGTCTTATACACATAAATATCAAAATATTGAGCTGCTACTCCGGTGTGTGATATGGATCAAAATGGGTCGAAATCAATATCTTTGAGCAATTTGTACAATCTACAATGTAAAGAGATTTTCCATGTAATATCCAATCAATTTATAGCCAAAAACTGTTCAAAATATCAAGTGTGTAGGGTTGAGTGGATTTCTCAAACGTTTTGAAATCACAGTTAAGAATGTGTTTGTTAGATTTCTACAGAATCACCTTCAAGTAGCCCAAGAATAATGTCCAAATATAAGAATTGAGTTTTCGCGCAGCTCACTTTTTATATTTCTCTATTAGTTTTGAACAAAAACGTTTTGGCGATCTCCTTAAAGCTCAAAAGGTTAAATGATTTTATTCCGAAAAATGTATGTATATTTTATACGGGTCACGATTTATATTTTGAGCCTCGGCAACATCAAATATGCTTAGGCTCCATCTGACTTTTCCAGCTGCAAGTTTGACATTTTTAAACAAGCTTCTCCAGAACGTTTTATCATTTCAGCACGATTTATGTCGTTTATAGAGATTAGTAAAAAAAAAATGGAATTGACTCGTGGAAATTTTTGTGCGATGATCTATTACGACTTTCGACGTGGATTTAACAAGACAGGAATGCATCGATCAACTTACTTCGACTTTTGGTGATGAAGCCCCATACTGTGGCACTGTGAAACGATTGTATAACAAATTTAATCGTGGCCGGAAGTCGTGAAGGATGCCCAAAATCAATTGTTGTGCCACAAAACTTTGATATTGTGCAAAAACTAATAATGCAAGATCGTCATTAGCTCCACTAGCATACATAAAATATTACAAGATCATTTAGCTGTGAAAAAGGTCTGTTCTCGTTGGATTCCATATAATTTGAGAAAAGCTCAAAAAGAGGCTCGTGTCGATTGGTGAAAACGGATGCTCGAAAAATACAACGGCGGTGCTTCAAAAGACGTGTATAAGATTGTATCAGGTGATGAATCATGGACCTATGCTTATGAACCGAAAAGGAAACAGCAGTCGACTGTATGGGTATTTCAAGACGAGCCAAATCCGACAAAGGTTCGTCGCGGACAAAGCACTCCGCGACAAATGGTCGCCTAATTTTTCGAAAAAACTGGTCATGTGGCAACAGTAGCTTTAGAGGAATGTAGAACAGTTAATTCTGAATGGTACACAACTGTTTGTTTGCCGAAAGTCTTCGGTGAAATGAGGAAAACCAAGCGCCGTCGGATCATTTTTGATCAAGACAATGCGAGTTCTCATGTCTCTGGTGAAACAAGGGACTATTTGAGTACTCAATGGGTTATCTTCCATACAGTCCCCACTTGGTACCCAACGACTTCTTTTTATTCCCGTACGTTAGGAATAAATTGCGTGGACGACGATTTTCATCGGCAGCTGTTGATGAGTTCATAAAGTATACATATGTTTTGGAGATGTCTCAAGCGGAGTGGAAAATGTGTTATGAAAAATAATTCGAATGCATGAAAAAGTGTATAGATCATAATGGAGAATATTTTGAAAAACTGTAAAATGATTTTCAATGACAAATTAGTTTTTTTTTCATTATTAGGCTCAAAATATAAATAGTGAGCCTTGTACGTATTTCAAGAGCATAACTCAAAGCGCAAATATTTGTCTGCAGGAATTCGACTCAAAATTTGTGATTTCATTCCCAAACCGCTCATCGCACAAGGCTGAATACTAAGGAATATTAACATAGGATTTTTTGAAATGGATTGGAACAAAACACTTATCTAGTAATTGATTATATACATAATATAAACAAATTACGTAGATGAATTATGGATCCTTATTTCCGGGGCCACACAAAACTGTTAAAGAAAAATCTAACAGAACCACTATTTTCATGATTTCAAAAGCCTAAAAAATAAAGAAGCGTATTTCATTATTTTTGAGGTGCCTGAAAAATTTACGGATAAGTTCTAATATATTAATTTTTATGGGCTGCTGTACATTGTATCTAGGTCAAAGCAATGCACAGGAACATCTCTCTAAACTGCAGTCATGAAAAATGGATATGTGAAGGTGATATGACGAAAGTTGTTCCTAGAAGGAAATACAGATGAAACAATAAAAGAGTAACAGCGTGCCTACTACTCTATTCTATTTATTCATTTCCAAGATGCAGTGCCTACAATTTCAACTTCATAAAACATAATTCAAAGAATGATAAAACACAAATTGAATGAGTAACGGAATTTTATCATTCTTAAATTACATTGTTTATGCAAATAAGCATGTACATTTACGAAACATTGCTAGAAGCGCGACAATAATTGCAGGTGTGCTCAGAAAAATATCTGGAGGTTATTTACCTGATTGTAGCCACTTTATCTTGGAAGTGAGTATACTTTAGATACATTAACTGTCGTGTTGTGGTCTTTAAAGCGAAAAGCACTAGAATAGCATACACATATAAATCTATGTAGTTCTTTACTTAACACAATAATTGAAAAAATCGGTTAGATTTGAATTCGAAATGTTCCAGCAAAATATCTATGACCTGATTTATCCGATAAGTATACAGTGGTTATTGTTGTGTTTTATAACGGTTATTATCGCCAGCAAACGAACACACCATAGAGATTATAGTTAATTTTAGTTCAAAGATATGCGATAGAACATTTTGAGCCCAAAACGAAACAGTTTGTCACGAAAGTGCTCGAGTAGACCAATTTTAATGAAACATGTTTATTGAGACAAAAATACTGTATGCATCTTTAAGGAGGTATTCATTACAGCTGAAGGTATCTATAAAAAACGTGTATTAAAATTAATAGTATAGTAATAATACTCAAAGATACCTCCAGCTGACGTATTGCATAAAATCCTTAGGAAAGCTCACTCTTATCTAACGTGACGACCGAAGATTCGAGACAAAACGGATGAAGACTAATTTTGAAGTGTTGCTTATGAAGTGCCTATCCTTATGCATAGAAAGAACAACATTATACTTGCAGAAGAATCAATTAATATTTATTAGTTTTGTCCTAATTCGCACGATACATTTTTTTCAAAATTAGTCATCGCGATTCATGATGTAATAGGGCGTACAAAATGGAATAATATAATTTTGGCTTACATCACTAATAATAGTAAATATAATATTTCTCACACGCTGAAGAAACAAATACTGTCAATAATTTAAATTTCTGATATAGACAAAATTTCTGTTAAACACTACTTACAATACAATTCTTATCGATAACACCCTGTATTTAATGAAGGCTATATAAACGATATCTTGTGATTGTGACCTTTTTACATTGGAATTTAGCGAGTTTAAGAAGTATATACCAACTACATCAATAGAGGAGTATGTACGCAAAATCTGGGATATTTAACTATGATGTACAATTTAGTAATGTATTCTACTAGAGCATATCCAACCAAGTGATATATTCCCACGTCCAAAAAAGGTATAAAATGAGAGCAAGAGACGAAACATTCATATTGAAATTCTAATTATGACTGATTGTAGAGAAGAAAAAGTCGCAATGTTAATGTTTAATTTATTTTTAAGTCCCACCTCAAATAATGACAGTAACAAAGAAAAACTATTTTTAAAAAATTCGTTTTCTTCAGAAATTGGTGAAACTTTCTAAGAGTCATTTTCTTAGTTACCCAAACGCGCAACTCTGCACCCATTTAACCGAATTCGTATCTCTGAATGATGTAGGCAACCGTACATGCAGGGGTAATGCACCAATCTTTTGACACCCTGTATCTCAAATGGAAAGCATTGCTAGGCTGTTCACGCCCGTTGAAACCTTTGATCGGCACAATATGATCCATTGATAAACGAATTTCCATGATTTGACCAGTGGTCAAATCCCATATATTTGAGCCTGGTAAGTCCCAACTTTCGGGACAGCCTATATATATATGTACAAACTATGAGACTCTAATCTTTTCAAAGTATGTAAAGTAAATATAGGAACAACTGTGCCAAATTCTCGTAGATGACGCTGTGGTATCTCATTTTATGCCGGATAGTCTTTGGATGCGGATGCATATAGCATAAGGTTGGCTATCTTGAGGTAGAAAGGTTAATTAATTGTTGAATAAGTCCCAACTCCAAAAATAACATTTTAGCAAGTCTCGTTATTTTTAATAACTATCACGAAGGCTTGCTTTGATAATACGAGCATATCTGTGGAGCAGAGATATTGATGTGGTTCCAAATATGTCGTCTTAAATCAACCACAGCCACAAAATCATTATGCAGCTACTGTCCAAATTAGTCATTCCAATGTATACTCTTCTATTGATGTTGGTCGAAATGTTCAGCTTTTTTTGTTTGACGAATAATTACATCATAGACGATTTTGCAAAAATATTTGGTTAAAAATCAGTCACATTGTATTTCTAAATACAAAAATTTAAAATAGTATATTTCACACATTTCTTTAAACTGTATTTGGTCTATGATTCCACAGATTGAGTTGCTGATTGTTCATATTTCATATGGCACAATGAAATAAAATATCACAATGAGTATCACAGAAAATTAAAAACAAAAATGAATAATGAACCGAAAGAAATAACGTCCCCTGATTTTGTGATTCACTTTCCAATCATAGCAAGATTCAAAAAATAGTTTATGCATATGGAAGAATCTGTCTACACTTTAAAAAGCAGTCTGACTTAACGCCAGTTTCAACAATAGTTTTATAGAGAAATTTAATTTATACCATTCAGAGAAAACTACTTTCCCTTAGATAGTTCATGATCCGTTCGCTATTCTTGTTTATGCGTATAATTATGCAGGAGACTGATATAAATTTCTTGAGTTGTTACTAAATATTACTATCAGCAACTGATCTGTGAAATTCGCAAAACTAACACATGACGACGTACACAAATACAAATTTTGGCACACTTTCTGAGGCTGTGAACATGGGCCCGGTGCAGCACGCACTCCATGAATAATTAAATATACGAAAGAACAGAAAATTACTGAAACATATTTTTCAAAAACTGCCTATTCACAATCGCTTTACGATTCCAAAATCAAATATATTGCTCCATTTGGAACCGGCTTAATTTTTTAGAGCTATACCATCTAGCTCCAAATGGGGCGCTATTAATTTTGGGATGAGAAATATTGGGTTAGACTATGGACATCGCGAGTATTTACTTCATGATAAATTTTTGGTTGAGGTTGACGTCAAAATCGGCGTGATGAATTGATCATGAATCAAGGCCTAGGATGAGAAATGAGAAAAGTATTCATAGTAAAGTCAGATCTCCGATACATCCAAAAGAACATTGGAAATACGGGCCCCTATCCACCACCTTGTTTATGATACCGAGCGCGTATCGCTACATAGAATACGACGTGGAAAGCTCTATTTTTTGTTTGTATACACCGTTGATTGCCTGACACAACACGACTTGAACTATATCAACATCATAGCCGAAACGAACGCGCACAATCTAGTTAAGGCCCCCGCTAAGAGTTACAAGATTTCTACATACCGACGACTATGATTCGAGCGAAGCGCACAGATACTCTTCTAGGAAGAATTAGATAATTATTCGACAACTTTGTAACAGGAAACCAATTAATTTCTAGAAATTTATACAAATAAGAGTCATTGGAAGAATAATTTTTCATACGAAAATTTAAAATTTTTTGGACAGTGCACTACATAAACATGGATTTTTACGATGGAATCTGCTATACATATGATGGTAGCAGGCCCTAAAGGAAATAAATTATTCCGAAACGTCGGCAGCTTTGTAAGAGGAAACTGTGTTTCTTTAGACCCACAAACCCAATTAGTTACTAGAAATTTATAAAAAATATCTTTGATTCCTCTGTGCGCTAGCGCTCTGATGATTATCTGGATATCTACAACATGGTACTACTGAAGCAATCATTGAGGTGTCATCTCATTTAGATGGTTGGAAGCGTTACATAGTTTGTATTGAGACATGATAGAAAGTTATAAGCACCCAAGAAAAAACGTTTGCGTAAACTATAGTAATTTATATCAGAACTTGTAAAGTCTGTATATAGTTTCATTCACATTTTCAGGAGATCGTACTGAACGAAAATTGAACAGACATGAATAGAAGTTTAATTTGGTAGTCTATTTTTTTCATCTGGAACTGAAACCTCCTATCACGTACACGATTGTAGCTACAATCGCGAGTTTACAGGGTGACCAAAAAGCTCTTCAAGTTAGTGGTAACAGTAGATATGAAAATCCCAATGGAAACTGCAAGCTGGTCACTCTGTACATTTTTGGATAAAACACGGGTAGTTATTAGGTTCTGTACAAAATTCCATAACCGGTTTTAAGTATGTCTTCACATGCTTATTTAACACAGTCATATATTATATATGTATATGGTAAGTACATTTTTTGTTTCAAGGTATAATTGAACTTTTGTACACTTGTGTTACTTCTTGAGAAAATGTTGATCCATTTTAATTGGCACATATTTGAGTCAAGTCACTACAATGATGTATTACCACTTTTGCACCCTTAAACGCGCGTCTGACAAAATCCAAATAAATGTGACATTTTGTTAGTTTTATTTCACAATAGTGACTAGACTGAACCATATTAACACTATATCTTAAGAACAGTCATAATATTATATCTAATGAGAAGGGATAACATGATAGATTGTCCCCATTTATAGTCAAACGTTAAGATCAAATTGTTATTTGCAATAAGTAAGCCTAGTCATTGGAGCTCATTGTAGCTGTCTTTTTTTAAAACAGCATGCATTTTTCTAATAAGAAAGTCTGACCAAATTTGAGCCAACATTTTTTATACAAAAACGCTGCAAACATTTTTTGTGCTACATTTAACTCCAATAACATTTAAACAAAGTTGTGACTAGACTGATTATATTAGTTTAAAATGTTAGAAGACTAGAATATTGATATGACTACATCTATAGTAACAAGCATTTAAGAAATAAAAACAGAAAAATTGATAGTAATCACTAGTAATCAAGATTGTTTTCAGAATAAGATTAGAAAACAACGTATCTACTTTATACATATTATTTCTGTGAGAAACAACAGCCTGATAATTTGGGATCTCCATCCAGATACCAGAGATAAATATTTCTAGTAAAGCGATATACAGTGGGTAAAAAATAAAAACAAAATGATTTTTTTTTTCTGTTACTACATTTATTTGAAACATCCAATTAGTAATTTTTGATGGCAACAGATTGAGGAAATTAAAAATAATTTAAGAATAATAATAGGAATTATGAAATTCAAGGGTCAAAAAAGTATTGACAACTAAAAAAACAGGTGAATACACCAAAAAAACTACTGCAATGTAGGATATCAATCCCATTAAACATTTGTGGTGCTTGCTGTACCTGAAAGACCGAAAAAGTAAAATTTCTGACAAACGACTGCTACAAGATGTTCTTATGCAGGAATGGGACCAACTCGTAATTTCCGTAAAATAATGGCTTCAGGCCATAATTGATGCAAATGGTATGGTAACAAAGCACTAACTGCAAATGAAGTTTGTCAATACTTATCCACTCGTTTGTTTTTTAGTGATTTTGACTCTTTAATTTCATAATTCGTATTATACTTTTATTGTTTTCAATTTGCCCAATCTATTGCCACCAAAAATGACTATTTGGATCTTAGTTTTCCGATAAATTTAGTATCAAAAAATGGGGTGTGCCCATACCTTTTTGTATGTATATGTAGGTCCGTTTTCGGATATATTTTAGACAAAAAGCTTTCTCTGTAATACCCTGCCGACACCAAATTATTCGGCTGATGAATCTCTCTGTTTGAAACTTAAAATTGTATATTCTACCTTGGTGCGGTGATGTTTCCTGCGTGAAGCGCAGTTTCAAACTATGGATTTTTCGTTTTAGTTTTTTACATGGTAGTAGCCAGAATCTTGCCGTCCAAGGGAATATAAAATCGATATTTAATACCTCAGTTTAAGGTAAATGATTTAAAGCACTATTATGCCTGAAAGGAAAATGTTAAATTCATGATGCGACAGTGCATGTTACACAGAGTGATCACAGCTAAAACTACTCGGCTAAAAATACATTTTTTCAGTGATAAATTATTTTAAAAATTATGTATAACCGGGTATCCTCAAAAATCGTGGTTAAACGTAGTCTAGACATAAAAGCTGATAAATATTCTTTCATAAACATTTTAACCACTTTTTTTCAAGCTGCCCGGGCAAAGGAGTGAAATGAGCATTTTCAGTTAGTTTAGCTCAACCTACTAGCGTGGTAAAAATATTTCAAGGACATTACGTCTCCACGCCAGCTGAGCTTCATAAGGAAAAATGAAAATAGGTAGTAAGATTGAAAGATTTTTTGGCACATCTATCGTTTGGAAGAATAAAATTACACCTAATCAACAGTTGAATACTTATTATCCACAGCCCAATGTAACAAATGCAAAAATTATAAATTTATATTCAAATAAACAAAGTGCCCATATCACTCTGAACGTAAAAACGTCAACAGCAAATAAAAATTGCTCTCCGAGTTTCAATCAATAGCTCAAAATAGATATTTAACCACGGCATCGAAACTTTTGATTCAAATTATACACGGTGTCCCACTTTAATCTCCCCAGCTAAATATTTCGAAAATTCGCATCCCACAAAAAAAGCTTCAATCGAATCTTGTAGGAGTCTGAAGGGGTAAAATGGTGGAGACCTTGACAGTGACCTTGGCTACCACCTTCAAGGTCATTTTCAGGTCAAGTGAATATTTTCATTTTCAAACAGAACCCCTATTTTTCATATCGGAATTGAAAACAGGAACAAATTTTACATCGGAAGATCGCTTTCGTCACCAGCTTGACTATTGCCTTCCAGACCATTTCGAGGTCAAATGAGGACATCTAAAAAATGTTCGACAGCACAGTGGTTAGGTTTCACCCAAAGGTCACTTCGAGCATGACCTTGAAAGCAAAAATTTCCAACGGAAAGCTCTCATTTAAACATTGGAAATGGAAAAAGCAGGAAATTTAAAGTCCAAATTTGAACTCAAAGGCAAAAGATCGTATCAAGCTTAAATGTTATTTAAGATCAAAACCACATTCGCACCCAAAATCTCGTCGTTTCTATTTCCAGTTTAGAAATGAGAAGTTTAATTTGGAAACCTTGACTTGGCCTTGAATGTCATGGTCAAGGTCACCTTTGGCTGATCCCACAAACCTCACAACTGATGAACTCTTTTGCAAGGACAAATTGCTTTCGATGTCTACTTTTGGCCTTGCAGGCGATATCCAAGGTCATTGCCAAGGTGGTGGTCAGACGTAAATCTTGCTATTTTCAATATCAATGTGAAAAAGGGGGAATCCTATAACCTTGAAAGGACCTTAAAGCTGACAATCAAGGTTATCGCCAGGGTCGCCATCAGCCTACACCTTTTTTTGAGACTTTTTTGCTAGAATGCGCAGTTTTCGAAATATTTAGGTGGGGAGATTAAAATGATGATACATAAATAACATCGTCAGAATTTCAGAGTAATGGAAAACCGTTTTATATATAATATATAAATATATAATTGTACCTATTATAAACGTGATGTTACTTTGAGTAATTATTTTTTTTTTCGTAAAGACCTAGATCATTTATCAAAGTACCGCCATTGAAAATTTAAACAATTGCCTCATGTTGAAAATAAAATAATCTTAGACACATTACAAAGAATAGCTCCTCGTCATTGTACTCCGTGTTTAGAGAACATTCTGTATGTAAATATATGAACTTAAATGAAATTTGAGCAAAAGGTAAAATGCATATGCCCACCTACATTTGATGGAAGTTCAGAGAGCTTTTTAAACAATGTCCAACCAACGTATATCCTACCTATGCCATTAGTATGACTTTACTGCGTTTGCAATCAAATAAAAAATACAACAAAAAAATACGTTATACGTGACTTACATCCTAAAATAATATTTTTGTTCATAACAACGAGATTGATGTTCTGTGATTGTCCTGCTAAATTCTCGTTCGCACAATAATCAAAAGCTCTGGCACATTTAATCCTAGGTTATTTAGCATTTTTTCAATTGAGCAAATTTATAAATACCGATCTAAGTCATATCACGATTATTTGTCAATTTAGAACGTTTTTCTATTAGTTATTGCTAAACTTTTATTATATGTTAGTATCTTCAATACTGATTAGTCTAAAAATAATAGTTGACTTAGAAACTACTCTGGAGCTGCTTCGAAAGGAGTTATCCTATGCAGAATTTCTCCAACGAAAGTATTTCTCCCTGACACTTTTAAAAAAATAAAATCACAAAAATTAATTGAAAAGAGTCAAACGTCGCTTTTTTAGATCAGGACAATAACAGTTTTTTGCACAATACATATTAATATGTACAGTTTTTTCATCTAAAATATTCTCAATATTAACAATCCAATCCGATCAGATGGAACTACAGCGCAAAATAAAACAAAAAACAAAACACATGCTCATGACTCGTATCTAAATACTTTATATAAATATAGCGTATTATTTGTAAAAAATTTAAAATAAAAATTCTTTGGTTTGATCCCTCATACCAATCTTGTAAGTTACCGCTTCAAAAAACATACACAATCAGAGATATCAGACAAAAGCGCGTTATCTCTAATTGGATGTTGAGTCATCAATCAACACGTACCTTTAGCTTGTGAGAAAATATAGTAGAAAGTTGTAGATGGAGTAAACCTCTTGATAAAGGTGTGTATTTCAAAGCCGATATTTAAATAATATCACCAAATTGTTTTAGAATAGATAAATCAACATAACACTGCAAGTTAAGATCACAGATATGATAATTTATTCATTTAATTCAAAACCAATATTACCAATGATCATAAAATATTTTTTCTCCAAAGTGCTTTTTTCTCAGACAGTGCTTGTGTTTTGTCTAGAATCGATCACAAATTTTATAATACTGACTAGCTTAGCCCAGTTTTAGGTTCAATATAAAATATTAAGAGAATTTCTATATAGCACTGAAGGACAACAAAATCTTACAACTGAAACTTCGGGACATAACCTTACCGTAAGAAAAGTTCCATATAAATTTCGAAATCTATCGCTGTCACACGTGGAAAATTTGGAAAATCATGTAAAAGCTTGAAGTGGTACTTCAACTACATCTGAAAGCTTTCCCCAGCTTAAAAAAAAATAGTACGTGTTGATGGACTCACAAAAATGGAAAGTAGCGCTTTGGCGATTATATGTTAGTATTATGTTCAGCCAGGTGAAAGAGTTGTTAGTTCACTGACTGATTGTTGAGTAATTTGGTGGGTTGGTGATGTTTAGAGGAGTGGTGAACAGCCATTCATTTCAATGGATTGGGGCCTTCACAATATGATTGGGAGCCAAGTAGTGGTATCCTGGCAGAGGTAAACCAGCTGTCTCCATGGTTATCCTGTTGAAGTAATAAAACATTGTTAGTTCCGATTTAGAAAATAACCCGATATTCATAGAATATAGATAGCGACATTCTATACGTTCAAATCAATATTGTTGATCCATTTGAAATTATATGTGGGTGATGTGTACGTCGTAGAAGTCTTTCAAAGAACTTTATGCTGACAATATTCTTATTTCGACGATGGGATTTTGCAAAGGTAGTGTTGCTTTGAAGACATAAAAACTGAACTATTTTCTACAGATTTTTCATTTATCATGGCTTTTATGTTGAACTACATTATATACATATATATATATATGTATAAATATATACAGGTTGTGTTACGGAATATCAAGCATTAAGCTAAAGAACGGCAACGCTGTCTCCTCAGGTGAAGCGCCCACACTCGAACGGCCGCACCTACCGAGCTGCAGCAGGGCGCTCGAAATCGCGCGTTGCCGCTTTTTAGACTAAGTAATCATTGAATACACAACCTGTATAATTATTAGTTAGAAATAAATAACCTTATTTTGTACGAATATAACAGTTTTCTCAATATCCAACACCTTCTACATTAAATAATTTAAAAGATAGCATCAAGTTGATTGACTTTTCGCTTCCCACGTCACAACATTGCGATCACGGCAGCGATGAGTAAACCTCACCAGCAGCAGCAGCCAGATCGCGGCAGGTTTAATCTATCTTGGCTGTGCTGGACGTGGGTATTAAATGTACGAGGAAATCGATATGTGAAATATGTCTAACAAGTGCGTATAATTACCGGGATTAGGAGCATATAAATATACTTACGCCAAATAATTGAAATATACCCTCCCCACCCACTGCAATTTCCCAACCCCAGTTGTTTCCCTCTCAAAGAAATCTATAAAATGAGAATTATTTGAAACGTCAAAAAACGGGGTTTGGACAATTTTCATTTTTTAGTTTTTTTTTCATGTAACTCCGCCATCACTGGATCAACTTACAAAATCTGCAAATATTTTCCGTCCTTGGCATAGTAGTAACCTTGTGTCAAAATTTCATCAAAGTCGAAATTTTCGTGAATACAATACTCCCTCGCCAATGGGCGTGGGAAGTAAAATAGTAAGTAATATGCTCGAGATAAATCCCTTCTAGGTTGCTAAGGAAAAAGGAGAATGGATTACAAGGTTGAAATGTTATTGCAATTACCTCTTACATTCATCTATTTTTGAATGACGAGTGCTTCTGCAGACTTATCAACTAATAAGATGAAAATGATTTGGAACTCGAAGTTTTATACGGCCAACGTTAAAATATCAATATCTACATTACAAAATATGATATATCCTTATATGTGTACATTCGTTCCAGAATCAGATTGGATGAGGATTGGACAAACTTGTCAAAAGAAGAGCCAGCTTGTGATCGTGGTACTACTACTACTATTTATGCTCGATTTGACTCAAATTAAGAAAACGCTGTTCAACAAAAAAAAAGAAAACAGAACAGTTCATATTCCGCTACTTCAGGATAGATTTTGCATTTCAGTTCAAAAACAGAAAAATGTAGAATTTTCTTTTTAGCTGAGCGATAAAGATGATAACATAAGCATGAAAGACAATGACAGGCATCGAGGATATAATAATCATAGGATGGTGAGACAGCTTACCGGGATTTTGTGTGTGGTGTATGGTTCTTCTTATTGGCTTCTGGATTTGGTGATGGTTGACATCTGGAATTGGTGGTGATTGGCTTCTGGATTTGGACTTTGATTAGGCAGATGTACGGGTCGTCAGGGCTTGATCGGACAGGCATAGATGGACAGGCAGCATTTTTGGATGATGGTTGGACACACAGGTGTACTCACTTATGCTCACTTTTACTAGCTTTGCACGAAACAGGAGCGCTAAACGTAATTCTTTTACAACCGAGATATTTCCTTAGGTGCTTGAAAAATGAACAAACTTTTCGAAATTTTTTGTCAGGTTCGCCAAATCAATATAGTAAAGTTGTAGGAACAACAAACCTGACACGGGATCCTAAGATCAGGATGCTATTGAGAGGTTCCGAAACTAAAATAGTTAGTAATAATTTTCGAAATAGTGCAAAAACAAAAGAATTACGTTTTCTGTCCTAATTCGGCAAGTCGCTTTTTAGGAGAGGATCGCAAAAGGGATTTTTTATGGATACTAAAATGTTGCTGCGAACGTATATATATATATATATATATATAATGAAAACAGAACAATCTAAGTATTATAATATGTATAGCTCAGTATGAACTCGTATCGAATTAAATGATGTCAAGCCTTCAACCAAATTTTCATTACTGTCAGAATAGACGCATACTCATAAAAGGACCTTTTTTGAATGAATATAATTTTTTTACGAGAATTGGCTTATACACTGACAGCAGCCTCTCAAAACGTATAATTATGGTCTGACCTCAATTTTTAAATTAATAATTAAATCATGTTTGCCTTTTATGAGCTGGCTCTTAAGTGATCAATTTCCAAGTTATCCCGAAAGGGAAGATTTTGACCTCACACTTTGATTCAGCAAACACAAATACATAGGTATACAAGTGTGTAATTATAAGCTCTTGCAATAATATGTTGTTGTGAAGAGGCAATGACACCATTAATGTAATGCCAAATGAAATTAAAAAAATATCTATTTTTGGAATATATGGAATATGACTAAAATTAACATTATTGTTCTGTGTGAATATGCAATCAAAATGCATTTGTTGACTATGTGTATGTCACATTCTATGATAAAAACATATTCTTGGGAAAATAATAGACCAATTTAAGGGAACACATAAATTGTATTGTACTGCTGGATAAATACAGTGTAATTTTATATACTAGTCGATACACATCGTAAAATAATATATTAACGCTAAAGATAATGTAAAAAATAACTATTATCATCATAGATACACATCTACCGGATGTACGCATGTGATATTAAATCCTACAATGTAAGCATTCTTGCTGCACGTATGTTCTGTATACAAACTTATGTAGAACTAAAGCGCGCCTGAAAGAAGTCCTAAACTAACCTATATTTGCGTGAAGATTGACTACGAAGGTTAGAAAGCTTCAATGAAAAACTTAAATTTAGTTAAAATCCAAACGATACAAAGTAGCCTTCAAAATGTATAAATTTTGCATTTTTAATGTTTATATATATATATATATATGTATATATATGTATATATGTATATATATATGTATATATATATATATATATATGTTATAATCAACTCAGGATTTTTGATCAGTGCAATATTGCTACAAATTTAATTGTTGTGTATCACATTGGATTCATCAACTTCGTCATTTCCATCACAAAATCAATGAAAATTAACGTCTAGAAAATATCTGAAGACCACCCTGTATATGTATGTTGTATAAGCCATAGGTCGTTCTTCCATCACGCACGAATATTAAAAATAAAAACCATACTCGTATACCTAATAATAATATCAGAAAATGCTCGATTCGCATATACCGGTAGTTCTATTCCAAAACTTTTACAAAAATAAAATTAGACAAGTTTAACCGTAAATTTTATACCCTGTCAAAACTACAACTAAGTTAGTAAAGTGAATAGGTAAGACTTATGTGCATATACTTTTTTATACATAATTTATACAAATTCGTAAATAACGCATGTATGAGAACTAACCAATAAATGGTCAGGAAAACGATAAACCAAAATGTTTGACGCTACCACTGATTGTAAAAATAATTCTTTTGCTTAATGCGAATAACGAATCGATTTGTTCCTATATTATCATTGTAAATACAGCAGCTTAGTTATAAATAAAATCATCAACTTTATACAACTCCGTTACAATCATGTTTCGGTGAAAACACGAACTTTACGCAAAAATACTTAGACGAGATCCGAGAACAGTATAAAGTCGATGAGTACTAGATCAAAGATTGTAAAAATAGAGTTGCCAATTGTCCAAATGTAACTGAAAATATTACATAAATATAAAATAAACTCAATTTCCTTCAATAGAAGTTCAAAAAAAGGAACAACTGACAACCCGATTTTTTGCTGAAGCGCAGAAAAATCTAATTTTAAAGATCACTGAACGTACGCAATATATTCAACATACTAGGTGAATAAAACAGAAAAAGACCCTGGATGATTTTGTGAATATATAATAATTTACCTATGGTTGAGGGCTTTTTTTTAAACCGGCAGATATTATCAGAGGTGTATTTAGTTCATAATTCAACAACAGTGATAAAAGTGAAATTTTATGGCAATCAATATTTTTCTCCAATAGATATAACTATATGAGTCTGCAAGTCACAGCTTTTGATATTTTTCCAACATTTCAGCAGTCTATTCAGTTAACCCGGTTTTTAGGTAAATCCTGGAGATCTCAATCAAAAGGTACAAGAACTTCTTTCACTTAAAGAATTATATCGTTCTTGAAATTTTCCAACCATACAAAAAACCATGTATAAAAGCCAATCAACCATATTATCATCACCTCAGGATCCGCCATCCACTCATCACCTAGTAGGGGTTGAACTTATTTCTCTCGCTCTTCAACTTTGAGCCATCAGAAGGTCCCCCGCCCGGGGATCGCATCCTGGGCGTGAACCCCTTCCCGCCCCCATGCCTGTGCGTGACTCCGGTGGTTTGTACGGGGGGCGGTCCGCCAGCTGCGCCAGCCACCGTGGCTCCCAATAGCTCAGACAGGCCCCCGAGGGCGCTGAGGCTCGTTAGGGCGTTCAGGGCCCCCGGCTTGGCTAGCAGTTGCGCTATGGGGATCGCGCTAGCCAGCGAAGTGGCGGCCGCTGTGGTGCTGCCCCCGTTGCTTGTCGAATTCGAGCCGGCCGAGTTGCTGGTACCGCTGCCGCCTCCGGGCGAGTTCTGCGCTTCTAGGTTCGCTTTCTGCAGTTCGACGCTATGGGAAAGAAAAGCGGGAGCGTGTAACCAGGATCGCAAGGATCAGGGACGTGGGGCGTTGTAGTACATTGAGGTGATTTCAAACTTATCTGATGGGTTTCAAGGGGATGTATAGCTTGTTGCATTACTCAAATATACAGGGTATGAACAATGTTGTCAGGAAAATTTACTGTGCGGCCAGATTTCCTTTTACTATGAAATCGTTCATTCTATATTACAGCTATCGAAATAAGACATGGCAAAGCGCCATCTGTCACCAAAATCGACCACTGTGGAGAGTGAACAGCAGTTGGAAATGCAAAGATCTCAGTTTACGTTTAATAGCCCAGTCACCGCTAGATTCTAGCTGTATAGTAGATGTAGTCTACGTGCCACTGCAAAAACTAAACATGATGCTTTCGTCAGTTCGACCAAGTCTAGACCATGTCGATGAGTAGCCCAAAAGCATGTAATGGCTGTCCATGGTTGACTGTCTTTTTGTCGGATGGACGAAAGCATCATATGTAGATATTACATATGTCTTGACTTAGGAAGTGAATATAAAATGACCCTTCAAATGTCATATTGTATATTACCACCAGCTCTATAATATTCGTTGACCATGCTCTATAATTGTGTATGTTGATATGCTCTTTCCAGGAAACTAGCGAGCATGTATGATTTTTGAACTACACTTATATTACGAATATGAGCAGTCAGGGCCTTCGATAATGTGATGAAATTCAGTAAAACATTTGTTTCACTTGATACAAAGTCCCTCCTGGCAAGACGAACATTGGGGGAGCACTCAATCAGAATTCGCATGGATGCCAAAAAAACGATACTTATTTTTGCAAGAACCAGTGGCCTATACTATCCAACACGGTCAAATGTTAAACACCACATCATGGGTACAGGGAATTTTCAGTTCGTTCTTTAATTTTCCCAATACAGTTCTGCAACACCCAGATGAGTATTCAAACTTGTCAGCAATTACATTTTTTTGTGAAAAAACTACTACTTAACCCCTTATTGCATTCCGAGTCATATATGATACATACCAGTTTTAATAGGTTTTGAAGCTATAGAATTTAAAGAGCGAATAAATGCATGATGTCTCATATATAGGACCGACGAATAAACGCGTTGAGTTCATGCCGACGCCGCTGCGGCAATAAATACGTCCTTGGTGCAGTGTGCAAGTTGATATTCGCGCGCCACGTGGTACAGTCGATCTCTTCGATTTTTGTAACATTTTTGTTATTTGAAACGTTTACATTAGAAAAAAAGCTGCTGACAGTTTATTTGTTACTCTTTCATTTGAAGGTAAGTTTGGGCAGCAATTTCAATTTTTTCAGAACTTACATACAAAAACTGTTTTGATTCATATATGGGACATCATGCGGTTATAAGTAGTAATAAAGGCTATGTTGGTTCCAGATGGATCCAAAAATATTTTACGAAAGCAGTAAATATGTTAGGATGGTACCAGAAAATAAAGAGAGTGATGATCCCGATTTATCAGAGGACGACGACTCAAGTAACCCGATAGTGCCTTACGAGATATTAGCATTTGAAAGCGACGGTAACAGAGATCATGAAGAGGATTATGACGACGCGGTCATTTCTGAAACAGATGTAGAGTCTGACGATAGTGAAAATATGACTCTACATGAAATTGCAGAGAAGATGAATCCCGGTTCCTCGAGAACGGGAAATCTCGTCAAAGATCCCAAGCTTGTAGAATTTACAGGCAATCTAAATGTGCCCTCAGAAGTTAGTAATTTAGAATCGCCATCAGAGTTTCTCAAGTTTTTCTTGACTAAAGAAATGATTTCAGCAATAACTACCGAATCAAATTTATATTGCTCACAAAAGCGTATAAATCGTCCTATGAACCTTACAGATGATGAATTGGAGCAGTTTATTGGCATATGTTTGTATATGTCCGGCATTCAACTGCCCCAAGCAAGAAACTATTGGTCGCCACATTTAGGTCATCCTAACGTATCAACAGTTATGACACTAATAACGATAATTTCATACCTCGTGGCACACCTGGACATGACAAATTGTTCAACATAAGACCTTTCCTAGATAGTCTACAAGAAAGACTGAATAAAATTCCTGTTGAAAAGCATGTTGGGGCAGATGAGCAAATTATTCCTACTAAAGCCTGATCAACAATAAAAAAAATCCGAAAAAACCACACAAGCGGGGCTTAAAAGTATTGTTGTTCTGAGCGGACTCTCAGGCTTTAGTTACAGCTTCGACATTTTTGCGGGCGCTCAGAGCAACGTGGTACCTGTTGATGCTCCTGATTTGGGAACAAGCAGTAATGTGGTCCTGAATCTTGTCCAAAGAGTCCCGAAGCATGTCAACCACAATTTTTTTTTGACAATTGGTTCACTAGCTTTCCACTTGTTGTTTACTTGACCAAGAATGACATTCTTCCTCTTGGTACTGTGCGCTTGAATCGAATTCGAGGTTGAAAAATGCTATCGGAAACGGAGTTCAAGAAACTTGGAAGAGGATCTTGGCAAGAGAAAATTGCTATCAAGGATAGTGTAAAATTAAGTACTCGTTGCTGGTATGACAATAAAATTGTCTCAACTTTATCATCTTATGTCGGCTCTCAACCAACTGGAAATAAGAAAAGGTTTTTTAGAAGCGAGAAATGCTACAAAGATGTGCAGTGTCCACAAACAAGTCTAAAATACAATGAATACATAGGAGGAGTGGATCTATTGGACTCTATGCTTTGTTACTAACGCATCAAAATTAGATCCAAGATCTCCGCATTTTCTTTCATTTCATAGATATGTGCGTTGTAAATAGTTGGCTTTTATGGAGAAGACAGAACAAGCTTTATATGTCACTTGCAGATTTTAAGGTAGCTATTGCAGATGCCTTATGCAAGAGTGGAAAGTCTGCATTGAGTAGGAAACGTGGACGACCTAACGCCAATCTTGAACATGCCTATTTGGAAAAAAAGTGGACCTGCGGCTGAAATTCCCCAAGTTGAAGTTAGGAACGACGGAATGGATCATTTTCCGAAATGGAGAGAAAATGAAAGAAACCGATGCAAACATCCCGACTGCAAATACCAGTCAGATATTTATTGTGTGAAATGCCAAGTACTGCTCTACCTAAATAAAGCCAGAAATTGTTACCTACGATTCCACACCGAATAACTGCATAAGACTTGTTGTTAGTGCATGGTACATACCCTTTTTAGTAAAATTTTGAATAAAAACTCAACAAGGATTTTTTTCATTATTTTTATCTAACTTGTACCTCATATATTTTTTCCATTGAAAATAAAAAAAATCATGCAATAAGGGGTTAAAGATTTAACAATAACAAAAATATTCATAATTTAAACACATCTTTATGCCCAAGCTATACATACGCATAGAATTTTTCAGATTGTTTCTAAATTGCACCACATAGTACCCAAAGAGCCTCTTGCAGTGCTTGTTGTTGAGCAATAACATAAGACTGCAACAGGTCTGATAGGAGGCAAAATAAAATATTGGAGCGATTGAAGGATACATGTTTCTCAAAAGCATAAAATCGCATTTTGCAACAGTTTTAGGTTTTTGAAGGAACAGCTGCATATGTTGTATAGAGGGATCAATGTATGGATCAGTTGATGTGTTAATGAGAACAATGAACTTGGAATAAAGGAATGCCTGACAGGGATTTATTGAACGAAAAGGAGCAAAATGAGCAGTTCCATTGAGTTTTATAAATTTCGTCATTACAAAAACACATCAAGTGAGTTAAGTTCCTTCTGCATACCAAAACTCATAACTTTCCCTAGGTTGCATTGAAGCTCTCACAGACAAATTGATACTTACTCTTTGTGTATCAGACGATATAATGGCTAGGCATCTAATATTTTTGTCAGGGACAAAAGGACAAAAATTCATTTTATAAATAAAGTATTACCACAAGGCCAAACGTAAACCCAGTTGTGAGTCAAAATTAGAAGGGTTACTACTAAACATAAATCCGCATACTCCCAAACTTGAATTTTTTTTTGAGACACCTTAAAACGTAGAAGAAAGTGCAACATAAACGTTTATACACTTCTCCAAAGAAATCAACGCACCACCAAAAACTAAAAGCACATTCACAACTCAAGCTGAAGTTCTTTTTTGTGAATGCTCGCATCTCCTGTTGATACTTATAAGTTTTGTCTAGTTTCTGAAATATCTGGAATGTCTAAATTTGAAAAACAATTTAAATATAATCTCTTTTGACATGTCAGTGATTCCAAGCTCTATAAATTTTTAAGATTCGAACAGTGTTAGGATTTTCATTATATTTAATCAACAAAAATGTTTAAATCTAGTATGTACTTAGACTGCAAGACTTCCATTAATGACTAAAATCTTCATTCTACCCGCAAAAGAAATAGCTTTCCGCACCATTTCCTTTTTTGTTTAGTGGTTTTATAATTTTTTGTATCAATACTGAAAGAAATTCGCGCAACATACTTCTGTAAGCAAAGAAATAAAAAAATTAGTGATATGTCTTTTTTCTACTTCATACGCCACCGGACGAGGAAATACTGTAATCGCAAAAAAATCCGAAAATGAAATTTTATGTTTTTGATAGCATATACGAGTAATATGTACATCAAGAAAAACCATGTCACCCATTTTCTATCAGTCATACTTCATCATAGGTTTTCCCGTACATTTGTCTTTAACACTTGATAACGATACGATACGCGCCTCCTGCTATCTGGGCTCAGCGCCCGGCGTAACGGCCTACTTGATTTTTCTTATCGTACTGCAGCGGTGCTTCGGCGTTCACTGCCGCGTCTGACGATATGGGAGGGAGCAACGTTGCCTAATGGACGATAGCTATCGGTATGGTAAGGAAATAATGTCTAAAGACTAATTGTATGGACCTGTTTGACTGACTTGATCCATTTAATTTGTCTACTGATTCTCTCGGACTTTTTAACTTGTGAACTTATCCTTCAATAACTGATGCCGACGTTGCGTAGGAAGTGCAGTCAACCTACACAGTAGCCCCCACACCCTGTACCTAAGAAAAGTGTATATACACATATAATGTGGAAAGTACACTAACTGATTGGAGGATACTTCTTGCATCTACAAGTTCGACAAGTGCTTCTGATAAAAACATACCTCAACTTTCTGCTATCTTTGGTGGTGCGTTTGTCGCGAGTAGTCTAGGTGTTTATCTTTTCACTTTGGGGTGTAATTGAATATCGGGGGTTGAAAATTCAGGATCCTAAGCATTTTGATACACTCGAATCGTACTTAAATATTCGGAGTCCTTTGAATTTTCCAAAAACGAATGACATTTAAGCTATCCACAATTTTCGAGTGGAGGTCATGGAAAGTACCAGATTAATCTTCTTTTTCGGCATTCATAAGAATATTTTTCACCTAGACAAAAAGTTCACCATGCTAACATCTACAATCCACCTACCTCATATTGATGAGATACTGAGCCAGCGCGACCGCATCTGGGTTACCGGATATGGTGATGGTACGATCAGACGAACCGCCCTCTCGGTCGTCGCAATTAGAGATGCGGATCATGGCACCGCTGATCTGCCGGATTTCGGCGATCTTGGTACCGCCCTTGCCGATGATGCAACCAATCAGCTCGTTCGGTACTGTCATCTCGTGCGTCTGCGCGTTCGTATTTTGTTGACCGCCCGCACCGCTACCGCGGGTGTTAGCCGTGCGAAGTTGGGATCCGGCTAGCGCTGCCAAAGCTGTGAAATTAGATACCATATATCGTGATATCTTACAATTTGAAAAGTAGTAAAAATAAAAAGCGAAGAAGTGTACTTCCAGATGTTACTCCGTGACCTGTAAAACTGATCTCTTTTATCAGATGCAATTTTATACCTTCACCACATGTGGGAATGGAAGAAATTTCATCATCGTTCAAGTTTCATAAGTGCACTAAGTGCTTTAGAAACAACTTCATATGCCAAATTTGGAAACCTGAATTGTAAAAGTCATCTTCCGATATAAATATTGACTGGTAGCAACAATTTGATATTCAAACCTGTTCGTGTTTTCAATCATGGTGCAACTAACCTGCTGGACTAAGCCCACCGGCACCAGATGGCGCAAGCCCTCCAAGTCCTAGAGCAGCTAATCCAGCCAGTGGATTTTTCCCCAAGCTGGCCACCTGGAACAAGACCAAAAATCCCACCGCACACATTAAATAAAATTGACGAAACACTAATATTAAAAAAAAAATTATTCGAATCACATACATTTAATACGAGCTGCTTTAAAAAACCTCATATAAATTGCTAATGTCTAAAAGTTTCCACTATATCAGATTTCATAAATAAGTGTGTAGATTCAGCGAAGATTAGTTACAAGTGGGTACTTGGCAGAATTAAAATATGTCAAACCTATTTTTGTTGTCAATATTACTCCATCAAATGTTTTGTAACCTTTACAAATGAAATGTGGGAACGTTTGTTTCCTCTTGCTGGTTGTTTGTTACCACGGGTCTCAAAACTTAAAAACTCAAGAAATATGTATAAGTTGGAGGTATTTCAGTTTAGCAATATAATTATGAACGTGTACAAAAAATAATAAGAGTACTCTCAGCTCCAAGCAATTCAAGTATTTATGCCTGTAATTCGAACAAAATTCGATGAATAATCCAACTGCATAACTACTACACTACCTTCCACATTTTTGTACGCCCGCTGCGGTTTAACCGATATTTTAAGGATTTTTGGAAGGTTTCGCCAGCCCACTCAAGAGACTATCAGTTGGGAAGCCAAATGACTCTCTTCATTTGTTGAAGGACATGACAAATTGTCATTCATTAAATACAACAAAAATTTTTGGAGTATCTAATAAATTTTTCAATATTGTAGCAACGTATGCACATGATATCTTACATAGATGTTCTGTAATTCTTAGATACGACGAAACGTATAAGATTCGATACAGTAGGTATATTTCTGTTTGAGAGTCGGGAATCATCATAAGCAACTAATAACGGAGTGTTAGAACAACAATGTCAATTAGAACGTAAGGTACATTCCAATTCGGAAATAGCGCAAATATCCATCACTTTTCATCTATTGGCCACTCGTTTAACTAAGGTTGGTGTTTTTTGTAAAAGAAACTCGACTGAAAGCCTTCCGAATCATTGACAGAGAACGGTAGTCCTAACTATACTTTGAACTGTGCCGTCTATATAATTCTGGATTTCACCATAGAAACCCAGAAACGGTTAAACAGCCCAATACTTGTTGACTCAAATATAAGTTACATACAATGACAAATTCGATATAGATTTGAATCAGTAGAAAACGTTCAAGTCTTTCAGTTATGTTGTTTGGTGCCCCTTCCTAATAATCATATGTTAAATCATGCATTTGTGTCAATGTGCATTAGCAACTCAATCCTCAAAAAACATATGTGGATGAATCTTCAATGTGGAATGTTAAGTATCAGAATTAAGTAGGTAAAGTGTTATCCTTTAATGAAAAAAAGTACGTAAAATGTTGCAATTTGAATGCCTTAAACAACTAGCACATTTGAAAGTGGAATAATGGATTATTTTTGAAATGATGGTTGAGGTGGTCAGAATGAGAATTATCCAGTACTGAAAACTGTCTCATTATGAATGTTTTTTAATTTTTAATAATATTCTGTGATTTCAACCACACATTTTTGCCATATTCAGACGGTTCAAACATTTTAAAAAATGGTTCGTAAATAATTTTTTGTGTACCACGTTAACCCACGTTCAATGACCTCCAAGAACTAACAAGTTTTGTTAGCGATCGCCTAAGGCATTTAAACCGCATCATTTTCCATTGGGAATGTAGAAACTTTAGTTATTTACAATTAAAAAAATTAGAGAAAGTATAGCGGCTAATAAAATAAATATACTAGTATTTTTATTGAGGGAAGCAATACATAATAAACATGCATAAATCTTTATTGAGGATCACTTCTGTGTAAAGTAGTGTAATACTTAGGCAGTCGAGAATATAATGTACTAACATTTCATTTTTTTTAATAATCATATAACCAATAATGGCTTGATTTTTTGATAATAGACGTGCAGGGCAAGACAACTTCAGTGATTGATAATGAGTTCATGCCTCCGTTAATTTTGATTTATTGGGACTTTGTTGTTTGGTAAATTTCATTGAAATATCTCATCACCAAAGGTAGAAGCCTTCTCATTTCAATAACTGAAAAGTGCACAATTCTTGAATATCTCTCTCTACGATTGGTCCATGCTAAGAGGAATATTAGCGATAGATAAACGATAAATATTATAAAGCTATACTTTACGTGGATAGTTCTCTGAAGGGGTAGTAAGGGTAGGATGGGCTTAAGGGGAAAGCAGCAATCCAGCGATGGGTCCACACAACAGAGGAGCTAAAAGGGACATTATGTTGTGAGCTAGAATTATTTGTGGTTACAAATTATTTAATATTAAGCCTGCAATGAAATATGAGGCTATTTTAAAAACTTACATTACAGAGCGATTCAAAAACAATGACAATATTTCTAGAGTAGAAGGGACATCTACAAATGGCATAAAAAGGTCATATAAACAGAGATCTTAAAATTTCTCATTATCGAAATACAGGATGTTGTAAATTTGTATGCCAATTACGGACTGAATAGGGACAAAACATTACCCTCCTAACACACTGCATCCCATTTTGAACGTGAAACTTTACTAACTCCACTTTCAGGTTTTTTACACGGATATTAAGTCAATTTTTCCCCAAAAAGATAAGCCTGACAAATATTTCTCCAAAGGGATCCGCGTAAAATTGAATGACTTATTCAAAAATACATTAGAAGTTTCGATAGTCAGCGGCGTAGAACATAGTTTCTTGCTTTTGCAGAGGATAAGTTTTTCCAATTTCTAGGTCACTAGTGCAGTCTGAGTCACAACATTTTTGTATGTATTGGTCATGTTGTTAGTTCTATACAGGGTGAGTTTTTAGTGTGAGCTCGATCGATAACTACATTATTAGGCACGATATAAAAAAAACTGTAGCCAGTAGTGTGCTCCTTCGTGTCTTACAAAATATTTTTGTCTTTACCGGATCATTTGTATGAACATACAGTATGTCATATCGGATTGTTTTGCTTGAAATGGTGTTTCCAAATCTACAAGAAAATGTAGAGCCTTCCATTTAAAAAATGAATGTTTACTGTTAGATATTTTTGTAATGAACTTTTTTAGATAACGTGCGCACACCGAGCCCACACTAAAAAGTCACTGTATATACAAAGTACTAAGTCACCCTGTATCTCTATAAGGACCCATGTTCATATGAACTTTTCGGACTTTTCGGATTTACTGTATTGTCGAGATATATTACTGTTCACTCTGTATAAATAAGGCCATTTGAGACATCATTAATGACGTATGGCATTGCACGACCCTACTAGTAAGAAATCATAGTTTGACTACATGTTCCACAGCATGGGCACATTGGAGCGGTACAAAATTGTTGCCATACAGGAAACATAGTGATTTGCGATCCAAAAACCATTAGAGGCGTTCAGAGATTTAAGATCAGTCAAGGTGGTCAAAAATTTCATAATTTTTGTTCGTGCATAGTACTTCCATAACAGCCCCGCCCGCGCCTCTAGAAAGCACAAAATATCGAATCGTGACCTCAAAGAGACGGTAACAAGCACCTAAAGGGGCGATTGCTATAAGTCTTTAAACTCCATAAAATACCTATTTTAGATGCTGAGCAAGTCAAGGTTTTTAAAAGTTCTAATATATGACTATTCATTATATCTGAAGTAGAATTACTGGACAAAGTGAATAAAGGCCTAAATAAACGTTTGAATATGAAACAAAATATATCCGTGGTTGGAGCAATTTTTTGATACGAGAATTGGATATTGCAGGGAAGGAAAACCAATCGTTACAAACAATCGAAGACGTATGATGCCAAAAGTCTTATTTTACAATCGTCGAAAACAAAAGCACAATGGCACAAAACTATAAAACATTTATATGTGATGATGAAGGTATATCGTATAATCCTAGCACACAACACACTAAGAATAGTACAAACATTACGTGTCATTGTTACTTGGTTCAGGACTACATCTGAGCAAAAGGTGTCAGAAAATGCTTACGAAGTATCACTTCAAGAATAAACATTATCAACCACTGCAGAATAGCTCAGCTAAAACTTTTTCTGTCATCTTTCACTATCTAGAGAAGTGGCAGATTAAATTTTGTAATTTTACAGCCCGAAAATACAACAGCAAGTAGAAGATTGAAGTCACTGGTCTGTCACCATTAATTCACAAACGTTATCATTCAATAATCAATAGTAAAGAAATCAAGTCTCTTACGGTTGTTAATAAACCCACATATTCATATTGAGTTATTCATTTTTGAATAACAGCAGTTTTTTTTCAAAGTAAAGCGAAAATGCTAGTCAGGCTTTTGTTTAAAATAAACATCCTTATAATTATCGTACAGTCAAAGCAAAGAACTTTTTCGAAAGGATCACAATAGTCTCGATCTTCTTGTTTTATGCATTTTAGCTGAGGCATCCAAAAGCAGGCCTCTTGTGTCTTTTAAATTAGATGCTCGAGATGAAGCGGCTAAGTAAGAATTTTCTTACATAAACATCCCCTTGCTGTTCTTGTCGTTAAAACGCCAAATTAAATGAAAATACAGGATAATATGCCACTTATCTCCCACCATAGACATAAGAACAACTTACTAACGACGAATTAAAGCGTTTTGTATGTTAATTTAAACGTTTATAGCTCAGCAGCAACATGGAATCTGATACGGTTGTTTTTATTTCTTAAGGGGTAACACCAGTGGAGCGGCCTAAACAAGTTTTTTGTATTTCTTTTCAGGGCGGAAACATTGCAATAAAGTAATAATATTGGAGGAAATTATCAAGCATACAGTAATGGACAAATTAATATTGTGCTGTATTTCTTTTTTAACTTGTTTTATTAATACACCAACATGTATACATAATTCGTTATAGCATATATAGACAAAGCAAAACAATTATAGAAAAAAGAAGCAAAGTTCATTGAATTATAGAAAACCAACCATGTTTGAGTTAATATTTTGTAGCATAACCATTATTATCAATCACCGCCTGGCATCGTCTCGGTATAGATTGTAGAAGCTTCTTAACATAAGATTCATCAATCTGTCTCCACTTTTGCTCTAAAGCGGCAAAAAGTTCATCCTTGTTTGAATAATTTTTATCTCGTATTTGCTTATCTAAGTATTCCCATAGACTTTCAATGGGATTAATATCCAGAAAGAATTTCTTTGCGAGATTTGAATTGTGCTTCGGGTCTTTATCTTGCTGGAAGATTGATCTTAAGGGCATATAGTCTTCCATATAGGGTAAAATGACATGCTTTAGTATGTATATACAAACTTATCCATAATGCCATCTATTCTATGTAAAGGTCCCGTCCCAAACCCCTAAAAGCACCCCCAAACCATAACAGGCCCGCCTCCATGTTTGACAGTGGGCAAAGTGTACTTGGGGTTCAATCTTTGTGCACTAGGACGTCTAATGTAATGAACATCATCTGATCCAAACATATTGAACTTGGATTCGTCACTGAAACATACTCTCTTCCAGTCACAGATGCTCCAATCAAGATGCAACCGTGCAAATTGTAATCGGTCCTTACGGTTTTTCCTCGAGATTAGCGGCTTCTTACTCGGGCGACGTGCAAATAACTTGAAATCATTTAAACTTCTACTTATAGTTTTCGTAGAAACACTGACAATTCCTTTTGTCTCGATTTCGGCTTCTATTTGTCTTGGGGTTTTAAACGGATCTTTGAACGAAATTACTTTTATTAATCTAACTGATCTAGCATTTAGTTTTCTAGGCCGACCACTTCTCTTAGAGGCTTCCAAGATACGTTTTTGTTTATATTTGTTCAATATTGACCAAAGTACTTTACGCTTCAGCTTCGAATTTTTGGAAATGTCGACTTGACGTTGACCATCTTTGTATAACTCAATGATCTTAGTTTTCACATCGAAAGAAATTTCTGGACCACGCGGCATGGTCTTAAAATAACTCAACTTACTTCACAATACTTGATGAACACAAACTAATCCTCTTCTGACACGAAACTGTACTAAACTAATGTTGAAAAGAATTTGTCTACATATTTTTGTCCCTCATAAAAAACTGCTTATATTCAGACTTGTATTGTGTTCATTGCAGATAATGTAAACACAAGGAATTTAGTTTTTCTAATAATAACGCATTTGCTTATGGAGCAATGAAGTATAAATTCGTTTTCTAAAGGTATTTAGGTAAATATTCATATTTGTCTATACAGGGTGACTTCGAAGTTGAGTCATTTATTTTAACAGTGAGTAGATCTGATCAAAAGAAATGTTTCTTTCCTTTAACATTTTTCTGGTAAAATTAAAGTAACAAAGTTATAGCCCTTTAGAAGTTTGAGTACCGCCCTGTCTCAATAATAATATTATGTGCCCGTGTTTGGCAACAACCGATATAATCCGCCTTATCCGTTCATCGCATCGGAAACAAAAAAGCGAAAGAATTTGAAACGATGTTTTTACTACAATGTACAATCTTATTCAGTTGTATTCAGTCGATGTGTCAGTCGGTAACGCGTGAGTGAATAGTGAATAAAAAATGGCATATGTTTACGAAAATGCTGAATGTAGTACAAAGGGCTCGTGAATCAGGTGACTTAAGACCTCACAGGGGAGGGCATGCCGGTGCTCCAAGACCGCTCGATCAAATACAGGTCCGCACTGAAATACTTGTCGGGAGGATACTTTATAAAACAAGGTAACATTTTTAATTTTTTTTTTATTTTTACACACATATGTTGGTTTATCTTCCTTCTACAATCATTATCTGAAAATTAATGACTCAACTTCAAAGTCTTTTATATATATATATATATATATATATATATATATATATATTTTATTATACTTTTGTCAATTACTGCATATTTAAGTATATGACGTACATCACTCATTTCCGTCGGTCTGCCTGTCCACTAATCCTTGGACCGTCTAGAACAGTACAGCTCGGATTTGGATGAAATTTTCAGAGGGTCACTACTACTAGTTTTATTATAATCTTTCCAATGGTGGCGGTGCCAGAGGCAAAAACATGGAAAAAATCAAAAATGCTCAAATTGTAGGGGTTGAAATTCTGGGGTTGGGGAATAGTGTATGAATTTTTTTTATATTTTAAAATATTTATACGCTTCCGGTAATTGTATGCACCTATTATCTATGTTTCACACATCATATGTTTCCCCGTACACTTGCATTTAAAACTCAGAATGATAGAGACATATTTTCGATCGGCCGTATTTGAGCTATCTAAGATTACCGCCCGGCATACCGATAAGGCTGACTAACCTATTCGTACTGCATGCACAAAACATATACACGGAATGAACGATAACTCGCTGCAGCGATGCCTGGGTGGGCGCTGCCGCGAAGATGTGAAAAGGGCAACGTTGCCAGATGGACAGTGACTACCGGTAGGACAGGGAATTAATGTCTATGGAATAATTGTAGAAGGCCTGTTTGACCGACTTGTTCCGTTTAATTTCTCTGTTGTGCAAGTTCGTATCTGACTTTTTCTTGAAGGATTTAAGCTGCGAGGAACTTAATCCTTCACCATCTGATGTAGGCGTTGCTTAGGAAGTGCAGAGTCAACCTACTTGACGCCATTTTATCTAGATCCAAATTTGCAGCAGCTACACTACGTGCCGCAGAGCGCCCCAAATAATGTGCCTTATTTTTGTTACGTAACTACACTCAATAACTTCCTCCAGTGTCCTTATTTCTTCCACAAAAATATACTTATAGGCCTTTACAGTAGTGCTACCTCTTAAATATAGCTCTTCGATTTTTGGAAATGCGTTTGGTGGAGATAAATGATGACATGAGATGGACATAAATACCTCAATAGTACACATTTTTATTCTTTGATTTTCAATATTTTTCTATGTGGTCGCTCGAATAAACCCTCTCAGCTTTATTAAAGACGCTTTCTCATCTACATGTCAACTACCCACAGGTATTAAGCAATATTCAACTTATTTTTTGGGAGATCTGAACGTGATATAGTGTTCATATCTATGGTGGTTGGACGAGTGAACTGCACATTCATATTTTTTAATAAATTACATATTTTTTTGGGTTGTCTTTCAAAAATAATCTTATATGCAGTTCATTCATAAGAAATGTATTCACTCTATAATCGTTTAGAAACGCACTTAGATTTATAATTTTATTCATCGCCATGAACAATATTTCATAACACGATATTTGACCACACTAAATTATTATGTCATTTCAAGGAGTATGTGAAAAATAAAATTACTTCAATAGCTACTGAGTGTGAATTGCTGTGGGACCCTGATGACTGCGGTCCTGATAGTAAAAATTGTTTACGTGTTACATCAACATCAAATTATGCTGTCCTATTTACGAAAATATTTTATTTTGGTGTGCTGTCATCACCAACAACGCTTTAGTTAGTGTTCTGTCAGGCGCTTTTTGGAATAAGACATTTTTTTGTACAACTTTATTATACTCCTATTGTTTTGTTGTTCATGCGAGTATGTTTGGTAAACAACAACTTGAGAGAAAGGATAAATTCCGTGGAGACGTCCTAACCAATTTGTCTACAGGACCAGTTGCAAACCAACTTTTAGTTACTGTCCTTGCATGATGGTACCATGGTGAGTGGCCATTTTTCCTTTCTCTTACGATGTTGTTCACTAGATGTAGTTTTTGTTTCTACCTGAGCGTTGATACCAATGTTTCTGCACCACTACTTTCAAGCATAACTATTATAATGAATGCAGCATGATATATTACTATGCACTTCATTGTAAATGGCAATAAATAAAATTCATCTAAAGGTTGAATAAGGCTCTCTTAGATCAACAGCGAATGTATATGCCAGTACAAAGGTAGTACACTCGCACTATTTAAAACACTTCAAATTCAATAGGAGCAGTAGAAACATACATATTTAGTCATAATACAATTTGAGAGAGAAAATGTTGAAAACGTCTTGATTATTCACTTATAAGATTCGACTTTAGATTTAATTTGGAACATTCAATACTGATGATTAAAAATATCATTAATTATACGATAGAAGAGCTTATAGAGATTTAGCCAAGTCAATGAGCTTCACATCAACCCAAGAGAGCATCTATCAATATATATTTTATATAAGAGAAGGGATCACCAATACAAACAGGTACCGAGTGGAATAACAGACCAGTTATGACGATTTTAAGCGGAATCGATGTTCAAAGATACTTTTCATTATTTTCCTTGGGGAAGTATACCTTTTATATTTCAACGTACATAGTTTCTGTACACAGAATTATTATTTTTTTTTGTCAATCACTTTTATTATATGTTTAATTTGTTGACAGGCGAGCTTCATAAAAAATAGGTGCTATAAATTTTTTAAGAATGATAATTTGACAGCTGTTCTGCACCCAAGGAGTTTTGAGTAGTGTCATTCATTTTATTTTAATAATATTTTTACGCAGACAAGGTTTTTTTCGTTCCATATGGGAAACCTAGATGTTAGAACACCCTTTCCATTAATAAAATCTACGTTAACCAGTCTATATTCAGCGAATGTGTGGGGTGTAGTATGTAGGTATATGTCACTGTGTCACAAGTACACGACTTACTGTCTCCTGAGGCGGCGCGGCCAATAGATGATGAGGAGGCGGCGCGGCCTGCAAATGATGTGCGGCGGCGTTCTTGAGATGGTGGGCGGCGCTTAGCGGATGCTGCGCCTCAATTGGCTGCAGAACGGCGGCGGCCGGATGGTGGGGGGCTAGGTGGGCGTGGCTATGTGGGTGGTGGTGGGGATGGAAAAGGGCTGCAGGGGGCGGGGCTGCAGGGGCAACCGGGGCGGGACCGGGGATACTTACGTCGGTATGGGCGGGTACGGCGTAATTGCCCTGGATGGTGTACGCTTGGCCGCCGGCCAGGATAACGGGACCGCCCACTTGTGGCTTCGGACGGTACGGGATCGTCGCACCCTTAGGAGGAGACTATAACAAAATAGTATTAAATAAATCCAAAAAGGGTAACCTTGTATGTCACAATATTAATCGACGTCTTTAATAATTCAAATTACCTGCTTATAGAAAACTTATTTGGAGAAGTTTAACATAAGCTGCTATTACATAGCCAAATAGGAATAATTAATGATAAGGTCACAGTTACGCAAATACTTAATGTAATCTGTAAGTTAGCATGGTAAAAATACGGAGTATGATTGTGCGAGATAATAGTGTTACAACTGCATTTAGTACGAGCATGAAAAACAGATCAGAACCACTAGTTAGGTCACAATTCCAACTTTTATGGAACAATATCCAACAAGCCTAGATGGATAGAGCAATTTTAATTTTGAAAAAATTGAGTCAGCGCGATTCCCCTCGTCTGCCATTTACCACTCGCACATCTAGTATTTTTAGTCAACATTACAAAAGGTAGATCAAAATCAACATACGCCTATTATAGTACGATGCTTATACTTTTGGAACATTTTCTATTCAACATTCACCGTTCATTGCATAGCGCATCTCGCCGCAGTGCAAAATATAACTTCAACAAACTAAGTAATGTGGTTCTAGATTGCTTGCCTTCCGCTTGCACGAACAATATACTTCTCACTATTAAGGTAGAGTACTACTAATTGAAACAGTGGAAAAAACGGAACTGTCAAAAAGTGTGAAATCCTATACATAGACATGTTGTAGAGCAGAACATACGAACTGCTGAACAGTGGATCAACAGTATCGCGACATAAGACTCTTAGTAATCACGTGAAGCAATGAAAACTAGTATATCGATGGCTCACTCACATTCGGACACACGCTGGCGCTGTACCATTTACCTATTATAACGAAAACACCGTTTTTCTATTTGAAGTCTAATTTATTCCTCTCACACTAATTTATTACAACACTTACAACTATTTTATTACTATGCCCTGCTGACTCATCAGTCGACTCTCTTTACCTTTGCCTTCTGTGCGTGAATTTATCTACGAATCGACGAATCCAAAAGCACTCCTGCGTTCTCTGGATTAACTCGAGTCTTCATCGAAGGTTGATAGATATCGCGGTCCGTGTTTCTCGATGCGTGACGAAAGTTCTTGACGCGAGGTCTCGTAATTGGTTGGCTAAGCGTCGATCTTACTAGGGTATCTCATGTTACTTACAGTTCTAGTTACGAGAGCATCATACTACATATATAGGATTCCACACTTTTTTTCGAGGTTTTACGCTGTTTCAGTTGGAACCAGTGTTGTTCCACCTTTTACAAAAATGTAAAACAATGATTATCGTAATATAAAAATTTAATATCTTCAGTTTGTTTTGTTAAAACTGGTTCTTTACTCTGGTCAACATTTGTGTATTCGCCTAAACTATTTGAAATGCCTTCATTTTTATAAATCGTAGCACACAAATATTAAAAAATTTGGTATTAGCGTACCTCTAGCATAACATTACAGATGTGATAAATGCACTGTGTGATCGCTTCTCCTGTTCCTGATATGGTGACAGCCCTTTCTGTAGAATTAGGGAGCATTTCAGAGGCAACCTGTATGGATGCTCCCGTGACTTCTCTGATTTCCTTTATTTTGGATCCTCCTTTGCCTATTAGTGACCCGCACTGACTTGCTGGGACTACTAGACGTAGAGTAATGGGTGGCCTTGGTACTCCGCTAGCATTTGAGCTGTTTATTTCTTGGAACTACAAGAAAACAAAAGTTTTTTTTAAGCAATGTGAATATAATATTAATATCAATATTCAATAACTATAGATCAATATAGCCCACAATGGAGAAAATTCACAAGAAAAATATTTGCGCTAAATAGGGGAAACCCGTCCAAAGTGGTCACCCCAAGCAAAGGGAATAGTCTTCACTGCTGCCAAATTATTTGTTGGCCGGCAGCCGCGTTGTCATATCCCCGGTCGCCTGTTGTCGCTAAATGCGCGGCAAATACGTCTGCTCCAGTTTGTATGACGCTGCGCCATTTTGTGGACAAATTGTGTTCTTGTACGAAAAATATTAATTTTGAGAGGTAAGCGTTTCGTTTATATCTATCATGTTAATTGTGGCATGTTCTTGATTATGCAAAGGATGTAATGCATGATTATGTAGCTTCCAAGAATGTGTAGTTGATGGGTGTAGATGTACTGTTTTTTAATGACCCTGAGGGCAAAACGGATCGGGCAAAGTGGATCCGCTTTGCCCGGTCATCTCAAGTAATATAATTTTATGCAATTATGTGTTTTATCAAGTATTTATTATTACAGATGGTGGCGCAAGGTACTTGGAGTACAGATGTCATGCAGACTGCAATAAATGAATGTAGACCAGGAGAATCTATCAAAGGGACCGCAAAAAAATAGGGACTTGCATATGCCACCCTATACAGGCATGTCAAAAGTGGATTTGCTTCTCCACAGCTCGATCGATTCTGTCCTATATTCACCAAGGATCAGGAAATAGAACTGGTGACTTACTTAAAAGATATCGATGATGCAGTATTTTTCGGCCTTACTCGGGATGAATTTATGACTCTAGCATTTGAGTATCCACACCAGAACAGTTTGCAATACCCTGATAGCTGGAATAAAAATCGAAAAGGTGGAGAAGAATGGCTGCAAAGATTTTTATCACGTCATACCAACTTGACACTAAGAACTCCTGAATCAACATCTGTGCAAGAATGAAAGGATTTAATCGCCGCGAAGTGAACCATTTCTATGAAAACCTTGAATCTGCCATTGAGAAAAATAGCAACGAAGCCTCTAGACTATACAATATGGACAAAACCGGGATATCAACGACCTGAAATAAGCCACCAAAGGTTATCTCCGTAAAAGGGAAAAAACAAGTAGGCATGACTGCAAGTGCAGAACGTGGACAATTGAGAACAATCATCGGATGTTGTAATGCATCTGGTAGCTTTCTTCCACCTTTCCTAATTTTTGCAAGAAAGAAGATGCAAGCAAGACTTCTTGATGGAAGCCCGCCAGGTACTCAAGCAACGTGTACACCTAATGGTTGGACATCAGGCGAAGTCTTCTTGAACTGGATGCATTTCATCGTAGAGCAAGTGAGGCCCACATCAGACAAAAAGGTCCTATTACTATAAGACAACCATGAAAGCCACAAATACCCTGCACTGGACTATGCCACCAAGAATAATGTGGTCATATTATCGTTAGCACCGCATACTACTCACAAAATGCAACCGATGGATGTTGCTGTGTAGGGCCCACTGAAAACTCATTTTGAAAGGGAAGTCAATCTTTTTAAAAAATCTCACCCCGGTCGCATCATCAACCACTACGATGTAGCTAGATTGCTAGCACCATCTTTTCTCCAAACTGCTGTGGCATCAATGCAGTGCATGGATTTGAACGACCTGGAATTTTGCCTATGAACAAGCACGCTTTTGGTGATGAGCATTTTGCACCAGCCGAGGTACTTGCAGGTACATCCACTTCGAGCACCCAGACTGAAAGTTTGTCCTCACTGGGAATAATTGATTTGCCTGAGTCCGCTGTTCAAGCGTCACCTTTAATTGATTCTCACGATCAACCAACATTACCTTCATTGGCAAATGCCACTGAACAATCTGATTCCGTCATCAGCCATATTCAAGAAGAAAATACACCGATTTTAGAATCCATTAATCCTTTACCTGTTTCGTCGTTAGATGAATTTGAAGTTTTAGGTCGTTCTCAGTTTCAAGACTACGTTCATATGTATGCTGAAGACCGACCGTGCACCCCTATGGGATCTGACACTAAAAAAGAAACCCACGACAATTATGCTCCCACCTCTTCACCTGAACTTGTTTTTTTTATACTCCAACCACCATGAAGGCCTAAGGCCTAAACATCCATGGGGTACCGTGGGGCTATAGGGGATACAGGGCAAAGGGGGAACGCCACACGGACTCTGGCGAGGGAACACGTGTGCATGCAACATGCACACATTCTGGCCCCGCCTACGAGATCCGTCGGGTGGTACCTCCGCGTTCGACAGTCAGAGACCGTCTACCACCTAAGAACAATCACAACATCCATAGCCAAGAGAAAAATTTCTCCTGGGACGGGATTCGAACCCCCACAGCGCACGGCGACTGATCAGGAGACCGAACAGTCTACTACTGCGGCCACCGCTGCTGCAAGAGTTAGATTTGTAGCAGAAAAATGTTATTTTAAATATTATGCTCTTTTGATTTTCAACGTTTTTTCTGTTTAAGTTTTATTTTATTCCAAATAATGTTGTTCTTTAGTTTGAGCTGGTACCACATAAACATTTTATTATAAATAAGTTATTAAATAAAGATTATGTTCTTCTAGTTTTGTTTGTTTATTTTGTTTGTAAGTTTAATTTCATGCTAAATACTGTTGTCATTCGTTTTGCCCAGGTACCATATCCACTTTACCTGGGATCCTGGGCAAAGTGGATAGTAAGCAACTGTTATAAACTTAGTTTATAACTTATAACATAATTAGTATTAAGGGCAAATGCTATAAAATTTCATAAGTTCCTTTAATGAAGGCTGGGTATAAATATTTGTTTGAATTTCCCAAGTTATAACTAACCAACAATAACCAAAAGCAGCTTAAGGTATTCACTTTGCCCGGGTTTGCCCTATACTGATTTCATATTCGTAATGAGTGATTTGGTTTTGATGCAATTTTTATATAAGTTTAATTATGTAAAAAATATAGTAATATTTTCATGTATATCCTTATGTAAACCTTATTTTTTTACTACGTCCTAAAGTTGAAAACGTTCGACAATAATGCTTGGGATTTCTTAAGATACACGATATTGAAATTTTTGGCGATTAGTATATTTCCTCGCCTAATGACTTCGGGGAAATAAAATCAAATCGAATTCCAAGACCTCATGTATAGAGCTGTAATGCATTTTCACTTACCTCTTCGAATTTTTTACATATCAGGGTGAAAGCTTTGAAAATTGCACTTGTTGATCCTATAACTGTGACGATCCGTTCTGGACATGAGCCATCAGATATGTTTATTTTCGCGCCACTCTGAAAAAAAAACAACCGATTAAACAAAATAATTGAAGCATATGAACTACCTTGAGACATTAAACAAACGTTAATATATTTAGCTGAGAAACGTTTTTACTGCAAATAATGAAAAAGTGCTCTCAGTTTCATGATTAATCAACTAGAATTAACAATTTCGACTGATTCAATATCATCAAAATTCATTGTCAATCATTACTTTCGGCGATTAACTGTTATGCATTGTACGGTAAAAAAACCGCTGCAACATAGATGAAGAACCTTGCCGTTTACCCTAAACAATATAACTCAGTTGTAAAATGCGTCTATACAGTATTTGCTGAATTTATGATCCATTTTTGGTTGGTTAGCATGAAATACGTGTATTTATTATTTTAACGAATTTGCGCTCATTAATAAATAAATAAACTTCGGTACTTCTTATCAAGTGGACTTAGCCCCTAAGGTTTGAAAACACAAGAAAATTAGCGACGTTTAGAAAACTTAAAAAGTGTGCTTTTTTCGGTGATTTATAGCCCGACATTAAAATGAAATCCAATCTTTAACATCTGTATGACAGCTAAAAATACAAAGTACAAAAATTTTGTTAGCACTACAAGAATACTGAAGTTGTTACTCCTGACATCTAAATTATCCGTGTCAGGCTTCAAATACATTCAAAAAACTTTTTGGAAGGGATGCCATAACAATAGATAATTAACATCGTAAATCTTACCTCTTCTCTAAAGCGCTTGACGATTTCTCCTTTTTTTCCTATAATACTTCCAACTTCCTGCAATAAAAGGAAAAATTTATAGATACTTGTTAAGGCTAACCTTTTAAATAACATAAGAGTAATTATATTCCTATAAGGTGTGGCTATTTTATGGTCTCCACATAAATTTGTTAGTAGTGTTATTAGTATTACTAGTGGCATTACATCATATTTGAAAACATCACCCAGACTTCCTGACCTTCGGTATTTTGTACTCATCTATGTTGTTAAACTCAGAAAATAGATTTTCAAGTTTTTGGACTTTGATGGTAGAGGTCCATAGAAAAATATTTTGGGCTAATGTCTTTTTTACCTATTTACCACCTTATTCGAAAGCCTAAGTTGTATGCATATATCGCAGTCATATCGTAGAAATGTCTATTTCATAAAATGATCGAGCATTTTATGACACATAAATAAAGCGCCCCAGCGCCTCTAACAGTAATTAATGTAATTATTTCAAGATTTGATCAAATAAACATAAGCTTGACCATTTCATGAAGTAGCCGCGCGGTTAGTTGATTATATCGGTAAACGATTTGTTATCAATGATCTGGTAAACGCAGGCATTTAATGAAATGGGCAAGTCTACGAAGTGATATACATGATCTACAGAATTTGTATCCATTAATTTCTGATACGAAAGAGTAAAGTATAATGGTTTTCTAATAGTCGCTGCTCGAACAATGGATTTTAAGTCTAATGTCTCAGTTTTGGACAAGGTGTTTGATACTATCTCTACAATGACCGTTTCACAGAGTACTTAGTGATTTTAGAAGGCCACGCTATAAAATACTAAGTTTAAATGTCAAACTGTTTTGATATGATGGGCCTTTTTGTTCAAGTGTGACAAGGATTCTAATAGAAATTGATCATGCATATAGCCACTGTTGGAGGGTATGCAGCTTTTATAATATTACTCAAACGCTGGCGTTGCGATCTGGAGTGTGGAAAAAGATATGGTGTTACATGGTTGACATGTAGAGGGGCCTATTGTGCAAACCATAGAGCCTATAGACCAGGAGAAACGACGCTAATGCTGTTCGTGCTGTTAAAACGACCTAGAAACTAGATGTCAGAAGAACTAATTCTGCTTCAACAGAGTTGGGTTCATTTCCCCCCAAAATTGGGGGACTACAACTTAGAGAATTATTTGGGATAAAATATTCTGGCGAAAATCACACACTTCAGAAAGCATCTCCCAGTTCTTTGAATTAAACATACCCCTTGCCAGGCAACCCCGTTGCTGCGCCTTGTTTTTTTATAACGAAGTTTTAAAATTCGCTACAAGTCATATTGAAGTTGGTTTTCATCTGAAAAATCTGTTTTGACATGTTCGAGTATCAAACGGTTTCGCCTCTTAGATCATATCAAGTTAGCCTGAAGGAAAATACCCTTGCCGTGTTTGATAATGAAATTAAAGAAATAAAAGAAAATAAGATTTCCAAAAGCTTTAAAAATATCGTGCCATTTTTGTAGCAGCGTCAAGTCTTTTTTTGCACTGCTACCAACACTACTTTTTTGCTCATGTCGAATAACGTGTTTTAATATATGTATTTATTTATCGGGGCAGTTAGAGTCTCCATCAGGAGCGTCCCCAACCCCTCGGTACGTCCCGCGCAAGACGGACACCTGGCAACGCTACCAGCTAAATTTTAGTGAACAAGAAATCAGAATGTCTTCCAATAAACTCGGCAAATTTGAAAATATCAATAAATTGGCAAAAAGAAATCGACAAATCAAGACACAGGTGGATAAAGGTGTCATGTAACAAAATCATTGTATGGAGAAAATTGACTATAAACATTTTTTATTGGGACTTTTTATTTTATCGAAATTTTAAATATTTTTTTAATTAGTTTTTTATTATCTTGTTTTGCAATAAAGTAATCACAGAATAAAACAATGACTCCTTAAGGTTGGTTTAATGCAAAAAAGCAATTTTAAAAAAATGTTACATTACACTTTATTCACTTGTGTCTTCAATTATTAGTTATACCTAAACTCTTTTCGTTTTTCTAGTAAATGAATTCTCTTATACTGCTGCCAAGTTATACAATAATCTTCCGATGGAATTTCGAAATTACGCTCTGAATAATTTTAAAAAGAAGCTGAACTCCACCCACTCTGTCACTTGGATAGTTTTGACCATAAATTGCTCACATACGATACATATTAAATAAATATAAAGGATCAACGGTTGAGTAAAAAAATAGCATCATGGTAACATTCCACCGATTCGACTCTCAAAATTTTTGTCACTTATCTACGTCTATTATTTGATGGATGTATAGTGTAAAAGAATTCTATCATTATTATCATTGAAATGCGGGGGAAATATTGATGTCGGAAGGGATTGAGTAGATAACACATATAACCTAAATGTGACTAGGGTCAGTGGTGGGGCATAGGGATTAACCCTCTTATAACCATGACAGTAAATGATGGTATAAACTTTTGCAATAATAAAAACTGCAAGACCTTGATGTACTGATAACTACCTAATGGCCAATTCGAAATCAGGTCCAGACGATTAACATACAAATTAAGATAACAAATGCCACATAAATAACGCACCATCTCAGGTTTCAAATTCCAATGTAATCCTATTAGTATCTCAGGGCATTGATATTCAAAATACATCTACCACCCACGCGTATTTGAAAATCTTCCTTTCTGAATCAACGTCTCTCAAAATTTCACCTCATAAATAATCCGGTGATTATAGGTTTGGTAAGGAATACTTGAACTTGTTTGAACCTTGAGCAAGGATATCGAGAGAGAAATTGTGTGACTGGTGAATATCATGATTGATAAATAGTATACATATGTGATGATTACCGTTAGAATTTGCTGACCGATAACTATTGTAATTTTACAATATACACTGCAAAACAAAAACATGATATCAACAATTAGTTATTTCTGCACGGGTTAAAAAATATTTCAAGTTGACGTGTTGCTTGACACTCAATCACATAGGACAATTTTTAAATTACCCATTGCTTACTGATTTCCTAAACTGAAGTAGCAAATTCAAATATAGATTTGAAAATAGCGACACAGATTCTAGTGATACAGAAGTTATGTAACGTATTAACTGATATTTGAAAAGTTTCACGATCACAAGACATTCGCAAAGTTATTTGATAAACGTCATCAGCTATCAGAATTTCGGATCATTCCACAATCCACAGGGAATAACATTATTTTCAGAGAAATCTCGTTTCTGGACAATATGGCATCGCTCAGCGTTATTCTAATGTTATTTGCGACTCGTTAATTAAAACACGGTCTCTAAATCATCAAATTCTTGCATTACTATTGGCCAGCAACTTGGCACGAAACAATACAATATGAGCGGGAGAGGTACACTTATATTTTGACACTGCATAAATGCCATTTGATCATACTATACGTAATATCTTTAAAATATTTGCAACACTACCACGTGCGGACTACAAAACTTGGAAAAAAAATTAAAAAGCAGTAATTATATTTCGGGGGGCATTATCAAGGGCCTCGTCTTTGACTCTAATCCGCATATTTTGTTTGCGCAATTTCGGAATCTTTTAATTTTTACCCGTGCCACACATATAATCTGAGTAGCCACTATATTTTCAGAAACTATTATTAAATATATTCTCAAATTATCATCCGAAACTGATGACAACGAAAAGAGTTTTACGCTTTTTACAAAAATAAAGTCATATTTTATACTTGTCCAAGGAATATAAATATTATTTAAATAACATAACGGGTAAAGAAAAACTGTTTAGTACCTTCAATTAAGTATCCTTTCAACTCTTCATGCTGTGAGTGTTGATGTTTTGGCATAATCCCGGAAACGAACGTCGATATCAAAATATCGTAGATACAAGTTTTGTAGCTTACTTATCAAGATACAGAATTGTCTTAACATCCTTCTATATAATATACTATTTACAGGACCACGTAACAAACAATAAAAAATCAAAAAGTGTTTCAAATATTATTCAGTTCTTGCTTATGGGAGGACCAGAACTATTCCTCATTTCAATAACCTAAATCCAAATTTGCATCCATTATAGAATTGACACCATTGAGTATTAAGATTGCTATTTAAAGAAGTTAAATACATCTTGTTCATCTGGTGAGGAATTAATAAGAATCACAAAACTGGGGAGAATCTATTATGGCAGATTCGATTAATATTCCTCTAGACATCGAAATCGCCAAAATGGAACTGGGCTAATTCTTCTTAAAATGGACGATGCCTCATCACCTTAATATAGTCAAAATAATTCACCTTGAAAAACTGCATTCTTTTTATCGCAGATTCAAATTCTTTGTACAAAACTTAAACAAGTGTAAAGAATATCGCAGCTAGCTAATAATTAATTAGCTTATCTTTTTCCGTGCAGTGTAAACAAATAACACGCATACCTGCTGAATATCACCGTCGCTTAAGCAAGTCATCGTGTTGCATAAAGCTGTCGTTAGTTCATGAACATCTTAAGCATGGTAAAAAATTCTTAATGTAGACATCTAGCTTGATTTACATTGATTCGACAAAGGTATTTTGAGCAGGTACTGAATTATGCATTTATTGTTTTTCTGGCCTTGGGACCCAAACCATAGTCTTATCGAAATATGTTTATGATAATTTGGATTTTTATAGGAATTTCATGGTATGTATTTTCATGGTAAATGTCTTCTATGGCATTTTTGTTACCAGAAGTAATGTACCTTGTTTGATAAACAACACTGTGTATTAGTAGTCATATCCACAAATAACTAGAATTTAGATCAGAGCGTAATGGAAAAGTTCCTGTAACCACTCCTTACTAATAACCCAAAATTCTGGAACTAGCAATAAAAATACTGAAAACGCCTTTTTATTTTGAAAATCTCAGTTTTTTATTTTTTTGTAGCCGCTCTACTTGACCGATTCACTAAAAAATATTTCTGTGTTGAAGTGAAACCTGAAGGAATACTAGAAATGTTTTAAAAAATGAAAGTACTTGGGGCCCTTAAAG